GGTATATTTTGATTTCAAATTTCAAAAATTTATTTTCTTGTGTAAAAAAATATATGCTTACTTGAATTTTGTTAAAAAGTGTCAAGTGTAAAAACTATTAACGCAAAGATTAGTCACGTCTTAAAAAAACAGTCTGTTTTTACCTTCGAAGTCGTGAAAACGATGCCGTAATTATTCAAATGCGGCGACCGACCTTGTGTCGGTCGAAGCGCGCCTGTTGCGGTCCGGCCGACACTATACACTATGTGAACTGAACATAGTGCATATTTTATTATTTAACTGCATTCATCTATTTAAGAATAACCAATCAAAAATAATAGTATCAGATCCTAATAATAACTAAACAAGCCTATTCACAATGCCTAACAGTATAAAAATCATAAATCATACGTTCATATGTCGCATCTAATCTGTTCTCGGACAAGCAACAATAGAATAATCATATAAATGTATTACAATTGTATGATTGAATATCCGAAAGGTATCGCTCGCCCCAAGCCGAACTGAGACGGATTAATAAAAATAATGAATTCGACCTTCGTCCTCCGCAGAGAAACACGGAGCTACGTGAAGGGAATCGCGAATTAACTAATTAAACTTTGACCTACTATTATTATTATTAAGGACATAATGAGCATTAAGGTGGACGCTTTAAATAATAATTTTACGGTGGACAAGAAAAGAAACCTCTAGTATTTGACGGGAGATGAATGCGTAGAAAGGTAAAAGGGGAAGAACGTTTGTTAAGGATAAAAAGAAAGCGGGACCCCTTGAACCATAAATAATGAGATTTAGACGTCGGAGGTCTTCCTTTGTAGCGCACTTTTAATATTGAGATGTACAATCTTAATAACGTAGTTAAATTTATGCAAGCATTTATTACTGTACCTATTTAACGATAAACATTTAACGTGAAGTGTTTATATAGTAACGTAATGATTTACACACATGATTGAATCATTTACGTAAATCGGCCCTGTGTATAAAATACAACACACCTATATTTAATTTTGGAACAAAATTTTAAACGGTTTTTTCCAAAATTTACGATTCGTTTTTTAATTTCTATTTTATTTGTCTATTTATTAGAGTTTAGGATTTCTCTAAAACCATTCAAGAATATATAAAATTAGTCGTTATATACTATTAATATTATAAACGCATCTCTTCTATTGAAAATTCATCTCATCTTTTAAATGCGTGATATATCGATCATAATAATCTTTCACTTTTACTCTCTAAATCCGTACTTTCTCTTCGTTTGTTTTTAAAAAAAGAAATGTACAATCGAAACTAACGTGGGTGCGAATGGCAACGGATTACTGAATACATGTGGGTGTAATCAATGATGTATTACTAACACAAGATACTTTTACTTCCTTACGATGTAGACAAAAGTAAATGACCTTAAGAAACCAGACGGCGCCAAATGTTTTGTCACTTTTATTCTGGCTTTGTATAATATTTATTGTATCTTTCTGTCAACTTAACTAAAACGGTTATGGCGCAATATTAAAATATTTTTAATTTTTTTAATATCCACATTTTAGTTTACATTTCAAGTATCAAATTGTTGATTACACTAATGTAAATTTCTTTTTACATGTTTTCAAAAATCATTATATTTGCTCTTGTTACATTTTCATTATACGGTATCGTGTTGTCAAACGCAAAAGTGCCTTTTGCTAAAGATAACAAAATCGATAGAACATAAATAGACGTACCGAGCTACGTTGCAGACGGGGACCAATCGATTCCACGATACAAATATTTAGGATGCCATAAAATGGTCGACGAATGTTCGTAATCCGGTCAGAAGTCCTAGTAATAAAGTCGAGAACGTTAATTTCCTACTCATTTCGATTTAATGTAATTAACAATCACAGTGTAATGAAGAAGAAATTTTGGCATAGAAATGTATAGACGGGCGAGTTATCTCACCCTGTGGGCATAAGAGAAATTAAATTATATTAGCTCACTAGCTCCTTAGTTAGTTTTAGACATTTTCTGACAGAATCAGCCTTATTTGACTATAATTTTCATAAAGTGTTAGTTTACGATATTAGAATCTAGTGGAAAATACTTTAAATCTTTGGCTGCACACCAAGTTTGAACAGCATTGGTTTTTAATTTATCTCAGCGCGAAATTTTAATAGGGCCATTAAAATTTCGTTTAATTATACCGCTAATGACCGGGCAAAACAACACCAACATAAAAATAAACATTAAATTATTATTAAAAAAAAAACTTTTTAATTAAATTGAGATTTAGATATCAAACGCGGACATCAAAAATGGTTTAATTAATTAGGTAATATTTATTTCCAGTATATAAGAAAACAATGAAATCAAATGCCGTAAAACGAAAGCAAAATTATAAACGATGATCTAATCTTTACAGAGGACAAACTACGTAAACAATACAGTATCTGTATGCAGTGTACATAAACCGGTGCGAACGTGAAGGTATCCATAATAAATAAAAATCAACTGGCGAGTGTAAATTTGTTCGGTGTGCATTTTTCATTGTAACAATGTATTTGTATACATTTATCATTGGAGCGTGATGTTATTTAGGGTTGCCATTGATAACATGCACGACATGCAATAATAAAAGTGTGTAACGTACAAAGCATTTGAGACTGTTGAATATCAGTAGGTTCACGTGAGTTACTAAAGGGAAGCTTTAAGTAACTCACGGTTTCGGTTGCTTGGTCAGCCATCATTCTTGAGATATGGTTCTACAAATGCTATTCATAATACTGTGTAAAATATTTTTAAAACTTAGATATCGTAAAAACATTTTCTTGGAAATCTAATTCAATTACCCAGTTACCTGTTACGTTTTTGTAACATTTGAACTTAACTCTTAAAACAAAAATTCATTGCGCAGAAACTGCTCACATTTACAGTGCTTACAAGCCGTATATTTGCGGCTTGGGAATTGATGGCATCATTCTGACTCAGAGGCCGATGTGCTTACGAGGCGGCAACGCAAGCCGCGCAACGCCGCACGCCTCGTCTGCTCCTGTTTACAAACAGACGCTTTTAACGTCTGTTGAGCAATTACTACCAATGATTTACAAAAAAATCGTTAATTTCCAGCACCTACTTACCACAACTTAGCCAACCATCGCCAATTTACTTGCAATTTAATTTTACCTTATAAAACGCGTTCAAGTAAATGTCCTTGTACATCTACCGAATTTATTCTAATTTCCCAAGAGGCTAATGATATCCTCGGGAGCTATTTCGGTTCTTGACACGGTTGGGAAGTGTCTCGAGACAGTATCGTATTAAATTCCTTCGCTAGGAAAATAGATAATTTTGTTCAACCTTTAGAATCCTAAAGACCTAAGTCAAACTTTCATACTTAATTGGTCATTAAAAACCATTGCTATATTTATTGTTGCATTTATTTACAGTGAATTTACTCCAAATTGTAAGTACTTTAATGAATACAATGCTGTAGGTTTATTAATACGCGTATACTTAGAGTTAAAAGCTAGTCGGGACCCGTCCGACGACCTCAAGCGACGCCATTGTGCCCGACCGGTGCTCATGAAATATGAACGGACGCCTGAAAGAACGTCCATCCCCTGACTCGTTTGGCCAAAGACCCTAACAAAAATTCACCCCCATTTATTTCAACGATTCAATGACATAAAAGAAACTGAAGATTGATTGAGTTAGGTTTCTCACACGTTCTTAATAAAACCGGTCTCCATTGTGCAATGTTCCCATTAAACTGGACAATTATCAACCGTATTTGCGTTTTGACTTTTAAACTTTATGCTCCGCAGTGAAAATAGATTTAAAAAAACGAACATCAAAAACATTTTACAAGACAATCAAATTTTATCGCCAAATAACTTTTTAAATTTTAATTAAACAACGTGTTACCTTTCTTTTTTATGGTTCTTTTGACCAATACTTTACAGAATAAAACATTGCAATTCGCCTTGAAATATTCAGAGGCTTTTTCAACAACGAGCTGGCCGCCATCACAATGCAAACAAAAAACTCAAAAAAAGCAAATGTTTATGAACTGAGTTGTCAAGTCATTAAGTCTTTTGCAAATTTAAATCCTCCGACTTCACGCACGGAGGAAACTACGCACAATGAAAAGGATTTATTTATGAACTAGTTTGTCCAATGTTTTTTCTTTCAACTTCTTCGTCAACAAAAATATGATGTGAAGAATATGGTATCACTTTCTGTTTTAAAATTATGATTTTCATATAACACTTAAATAGTTCAAGGCTTTTAAGTTTATTGTTCTTTGTGTTTTCATAATGGAAAACCAATGTATAATTTTATAGAAATCCAATTTAAACATATAAAGTCATTGTTCAAATCGATAAATACTTACCTCCCTACAGACAAATATAAGTTTTATCGCAGTTGGTCTTATAAACTGCTTAAATTATAAACGATTTTCAAAATCATACAAAATAAATTCATTAATTAACCAACCTGTGTGTCTAAACAACAAGAATAACCCGACCCCAAAAAACCCGTCAGCGTCCTACGCATTTTGTTGTCAAGCTATTTCATCTCTAATTGTCTTGACTCGGACTGAACTAAACAGGTCGTTAGTCAAGTGGCTAGACAAGAAAGCAAATTGCCTAAATTTTAATTAAAAACTAGATGTCGCCTCCGCGTCAGAACGAAACCGTTTGCATGAAATGAAATGTCCGTCTACCGTCGTTTTCTTATTGTGTGCTCCGATAAATATTTAAATTTTAATGAAATGCTTGATATGTCTTCTCTTCTTTTTCTTCTTATTAAAATATCTATTTCATAAAGTATAAAACTTATTCGGTAAATTATATAAATAATTAAATAGTAGGTAAATATTAAATAATTTGTTAAATAGTACTTAAAAAAATACTAGACTATAACTACCTACCATTTTTCAACACATGATTTACAACATATAACTTATTTATGAAATAAAAACATTAGTAACACATTTTAAATAGTAAATATTCACTTACCCGTAAAAGGAAGTCGAAGGATCTAGACAGGAAAGTTGACAGTGAGATTGTGATAAAATATAGTGAGTGTTGTCACAGCGGACAGTTAGCACAATGCATATTCCCAAGGTAAACAAAGATTACGTAAATTCAATCCCACGCACGCACGTCAGCCGATCGATTCTCAAACTTTTGAATACGCCCACTTATAATTTTATAAGATCAACCGCTGGACTCAGTCGAGCCGTTACAACACCGCATCCAAAGCACAACGATGTGTCGCTCCCCTGTGCCCTTGAAGCCGTACAGGTTATGTTATCGATAAAGCACAACACGCGCACTGACAGTTCAGACAAACAATCACTGAAGAAGTTTTGAGCCGGTCCCGCCGATTACGCTGAATGAAGATGGGAAGTGTTTATAGTTTGTGAGTACCGGAGCGTGCGGTGTATTGCGAATACGAAGCGATTCGTGAATAACAATAACGGAACATTCATCAAAACAACACAAGCGACGCTCGTGGTCGCGAGTCGGGCGCAGACTGCGGCGCGAGTCGCGAGGACGCCGCCGAGCGTGTGGCGACTGAGCGGCCCCGCACACCGCGCCGGCCGGCGAGCCTGCCCCGGGCCCCGTGCCCCTAGCCCCATGCCGTGCGCGCGCCTCTACATACATCGCATCAAACAACAAAACATTACGTTATCACTTTAATTCAATATTTCTTCTGTCTAAACATTTGGATAAGCGAACAAACTCCACGCTTCATGTCGTGGGAGTATTCCACCATCCCCACCTGGGCGGTCATCCGGGTGTATCAAAATGGAATTGAAATTGATATCACCTGAAGTTTGCAGAAGAAAGCTGGAGTAGCATTAGACTATCAACTTGATGTCATATCCGTCCAGTACAGAGGTAAAATACTTTCACTTGAAATATTAATATGAAAATCACACAAATTATCAAAATGGATAACTATTTACTTTTTTTCACATTCCTTTTGTGTACCGACATTAAATTCCAAATAACCTGTGTATTAGTTCATAAAGAACAATCGAATTTACGACAATGTTTACCTAATTCATCAGAGTTTAAATATTTCTATCAATAACATTAAGAAAATATTTACATGAAAGATTTTAGTGTTACTGCAGTGAATGGGATGAATACCTATAACAAAAATAGTAAAAAGCACCTGTATTTATTTTATTGTCGTGAATTGTTAAATGCCACCTTAAAGAAGTACGTAGCTAGTTCTGTTTACGATAACCAAAACAGTGAGTAGAAAAAAATTAAGTATGAAAGGCTTTATTTTTATGGCTGTTTTAGGATTCTTTAAATTCTTAATATTGTTTTAAATAATTTTTATTTAGCATTGTCTCTGATTGGGCATAAAGTTTTTTTTTTCTTTCCGGTCCCTATTTTTTGTGTTGACTGTACCGGTGATTCGAAGAATGTTATATCGATTTACTTTAAAGTTGTCTCAGGTAAAGCTATTGACGATTATAACAGATTTAAAAATCCAAACAATCGTTAGTATAGTTTACATCGTAAGTAGTAAATTACAAGTCAAAAAAGTTAGAGAACATACGAGAGCGTTGCTTGTCAAATCTAATTGAATTCTATTCGCACTTTTTATTTTGCTAAGTAGGCAATTTTTCTAAAACTGGAATAGTTCGTACGAAGGCGACAGACAGTACATTTTGACATTCAAATTAGGTTACATTGATGTTTCATATTAAACTGATAATGGAACAAGAACATACCAAATCTAAATTACTTTTTAAACATTAAGAAACTTATACCAACACCCGAAATTATAATTACACTAAGATGAAAACTCACATTATTATTTTGTTTTCCTAAAGCTATTACTACAACTCCATTATTCAAGTGTCACTTGACGGAAGCGGGTTACATTTATCACGAAATATTCGTGACGTCTTTTATTCCAGAACGAATCTTTATATGAAGGTATTACAAAAGAAAAACCAGTGAATGTAATAAATGGTATTCGTATTTACAATCAAAAAACTAGACTAGATATTTAATGTAAGAACTTATTCATGGAGACTGTTTTAAATTGATATGGTCAAGATATTCATCAAACATTTCAGAGATGGAAAAAAGCGTCAAACAATCAGACAAACACGTAATATTTGACGTAAAATTTGTTCGTTTGTTCACTTAAATATACTTAAACACATATTGCAATACTAGCATCATACGCAAGTAAGTAATAATTCAGCGTACTTACCTAAATCCTAACCTTGATTTAGTTAACAGGAATATTTGACGGGAGCCGCCGCGCCGCCGAGCACGGCGCAACTCATCTGCGGCCTATTTCCGGTACAGACACGGCTCAGACTTCCCGCTTATTTACTTTACATATATGTATATATCAGTGATGAAGCGCAGGTAAATTTATTAAACAAAAATCAAATAATTACTTGCAGAAAATTATCAATATTATTGATTCCCATGCGACTTGTCTACGTTCACAATTTACAAAGGAACATGCTAGTTACCTTTGCTAAAGTAATGAAATCATTTTGCTGATATAGACCACAATAGAACTAATTACGAATCTTTATATTTAAATTAAAATCTCTCTTGCAAATGTTTGAATAAATACAAGCGTAGATAAAGCGCTGACTGTTTGCATGCTGTACAGAAAATAAGTTGTTTCTAAACTGTTGTTGGTTGCATTGCATTGTGAGAGCGCATGACTCTCATTCATCTTAAACCTTTTCAGACGCTTGCTTTAATTCCGGGCGAGGCGCTAGTGGCGCGGCGCCGCCGTGCTACACGAGCCGGGGTAGGGGAGGGACATGGAAACGCTCATTTGCATTGCAGCTCGCAGCTCGTAGCCCCCGCACCGCCGCGGACCCGGTATTTATCCAGTGTTATCCTGCCGCATAATAAGAGAACACCGCTTTGACTCGCAAACCCGCTGAGTCGCTATAAAACTATAATCCTTTGAAGGAAAAAACATGGAATCTCTTTAGAGAATACCGTTAATTAGCTAAAGTACACTAAACACACGAAAGAACGGTTTATATATTAATTGCCCTGCTATTGTTCTATTGCTGCACTTAAAATGTCGTTATTAATGACATTTTATTCTCAGTAATTAAAATAATTTAATTGTTTAAAATAATTGAACAGCTTTCTGTTTTTGACCGACTGCCCAAAAGAAGGAGGTACTCAATTCGTCGATATATATTTTTTTTTATAATAATTAGGCAAACGAGCAATGGAAACCTTAAGAAAAAGACGTTAAAGAAGCTCTGGACATCCGCAACACCGGACGAGCTGCGTTTGCGTTTGCCGGCCTTTGGGGAAGAGGGTCCACTTGTACTTTGGTAAACATTCAATATTGTTTTAGTTAAACAGTTTCAGGCAAAGGTAGCATTATAATAGTAATAAGAAGTTATCTACATCGGCCGTTTCATTTCCTCGGCGCTATCGCGTTTCAGGCTACGTCGCCCCTTTTATTTGTACTTCTTCGTATTTCTAGTTAGCGCAGAGATGAGAATTCACGTGGCAAAATGATATTTTTACGTATAATGTAAACATTTTTTATTATCATTTGCATAGAACTACTTATCTGTAGACACGAGTTCCAGAAATGTTTTTTAGATATGGAAATCGCGAAGAGGGGAGAGGGTCTGTTGCTCGCCTAGAGATCCGAAAAATGTTAAATAGATTTAAAATCTATTTTCAATAAAACTATACATTAATAGAAACTGTCTAGATTATCGGCTAACGACGCCAATCGACATATTTCCCGCATTATGTACGAGTATAGGAGAGTTAAGATACTTGTTATCTTTTAACGTTATACTTAGTTATGTTTTATCTAAGATGAAGGCAGTAAATACACAGTCCGCTATTTATACGATCCTCTAGAAATTCGTAGTATGGAATGGTGCCAACAGAGATACGAACGGCGGTGTTCAAATGCTTTTATCGTCTCCATGCGGGGTGACGAAAATGGTGTCCTTTCAATGAAAAATTATAAAGTTAAAAGAATTTATAAGTAAGATGCCAAGACATCCTTCGATAATATAGATCAAACAAACAATTGATGCGATTTATCTTTCTTGTATTTTGTTTTGTTTACAATAGAAGCTTTCAGAAAGAAATCTTTAAATGAGTAGCTTTATTCAAGTTTTCTTTGGACCGATATGTCGCTGCAGTCAATTTAGAATTTGCCGAAGTATTAGAAACATTCAGAAAACTTCATAACAAATGAATTAATTGACAAAGTAATGTATTTTCGAAATATCTGGAGCTATATCAAAATAGCAGAAGAAAATGTTTGCGTGGTGTTATTATTTTTAAGATTTCCAATTACTTAAGGTAAAAATTAAGCATTCTTAAAGATGAAGTAATCCTTACAGTGTACTTGAAGTGTGCGATAGCGTGGCACCTCGCTCAATGGTCGTTGACGTCACTCCGAGTCCTGAGCAGGAGTGGCCGGATTGTTACACAATGCTTTCAACACTCAAAAACTCCTTTATTCTATACCTTTAGAAAATATGTATATCTATAAATATTTCAAGTTTTGTCCTATAGACTTAATAGACCTATGAGAGCTAGCACAGGGTGATATCATTGTGAAGAGTGTTATAATTCTATTTTAGTCACCATATTTTTTTTAAATTCAAGAATTGAGAAATAATCTTACAAGGAAACTTATCGATAGGTTATTATAATCCATCATATAGCTAAGTATCAGTTAAACTAATTATGACTAGAATGGATCGATGGGCGCAGTCGACAACATAAATTAGTTGTGATGAATCTTGCTGCTTCCGACCACTCCTATGAGAACTTGGATCTTTGATATGGGTATTATGGGTCGGCTTTGTTGTAATGAATCCTATCTTAATATAGTTGTCTACGATCTTAATGTAAAGAGCATCTATACATAATCCTGTATACTTTATACAAACTAAATAATGTAACTAAATATTTAGTTACTTATTATTTCTACAAATGAATTAGTACGGTTTCATTCTTTTAGAATTTTGTTACATCTAAATCACAAGTTTTGTATAGCTAAAGGCCACTCTCCAATTATCAATACTTAATCAGGGTAGAAAAAATTAATTCCATTAAAAAAGGTTCGTATTTAATATTAAACAAGATACTAAAAAGGGCTCGGCAGAATGCGTAAGGGAACTTTGGTCCAATTTGATAAAAAAAATGGTGTCCGTTACAGAAGGGTTTTTATTCGCGTCCGGAGATTTCACTAATAGCGATCCCGAACTCCAATTATGCGAATTAAACACTCGGGTCTCACTTGGCCGTCTATGGTTTTCATTTTTAGATTTTCCAGCTTATAAATTCGAGGTTTTTATTTACGTTAAACGCATGAGTGGCAGTTTTATATATAGAAATGTTTGTGTAAGCTTCGAGCTTTATTTAGACGTGATACAAAAACACGCCATTATTATAGTTAAAAAGATTTCTTTTTTTCTTGATACTTGCTTGTATTTTTGATCTAGATTAGGAGGTCTGCGTGTAAGTTAATTAAAACGATAATGAACTACTAAAACATACAACCATTATTGCGTGATGCAATTT